ACTCCACTAGCTTTATTTAAGAGCGCGACATGGATAGAATTTCATGGCAGTTCAGTACTCCCGAGCCACCTGACTCTCTGCTCCTACCCATTGGTAACTTGTCATTTGGATTTATGTAAAGAATTTCTTGTTATCTGGCAGTTGGGTCACGTGTCCATGCACTCGTAATGCTGATCTCTCATTTTGGAAAAAAACCACGCATAATTTTTGGCATATAGGGTAGCCGTGTTTCGATGCCTATCCACCCTCCACATACTAACAGTTCTTTATAATGACCTCTTTCCTTTCGCGTTTATCTCGGATCATGCTTTTCTGATTAATGCTCCCTATGCCTGAACAGAAAGTTAATCTATTATGCCATTAGCTTGGATCATCGCTACTAATGTTACATTTTTAGATCTGCATCCGCGTCGCCGTGTTGTTTGTAGTCAACCTTATATGTAATTTTTTGATTGGTAATACATTTTTACCAGATTTGACGGATCAGGAGTTTCTTGCTATGTTGCCGCTTCAGTCGGACTGAACGTATATGTTTTGCCTACTGCAAATTCTGGAATACAAGTGTGAAGTTCTCGTTCCAACAGTGATAATAACTTGCAAAATTTTTTGTACTAAACCTAATGAATATTCTGTGGAATGTTAACACGATGACACTTTTCCATCTTGGATATCATCTCATTTTTGTTTAATAATTTTACTTAAGTTGATTCAAGTACCTGCTCTGACTGTATTTTATTTCAGTAAGCGGAGTGAGTATTCCCGGAATGGAACTACAGCGTACTTTGTCAAGCAGCATGGAAGACGCCGACAAACCGCGAAAGATGTCCCTGACAAAGCCGTTGTCTCAAGGGGCGTAACCATGAAGAGAACGATATTCCTGCCCCTCTTAACACACTCCTCTGTATTATTGCTGAATGGGTGCATTTCTGAAATAACGGTGTTTGGTTTGCTTTACGCAACATATGTGACGTTTTCTTAAGGTGGATTTTTTGTTTTAAAAAGACTTTAAACGAAGATTGTCCCACGGACGTTGGGTTAAGGTTGATTATGATGCTGTGATGGTGGGTGAAGGTGTCCATTTATCATTGTTCGTCCGATCGACGCTTGTTTGACGTATGCTTATATTTCTCTGAGTGCGCATCATACTTTGGATATGACCACCGTAGCCCTCATATTTGATATTCCGATTCTTGGTATGATTTCTCGTTGTCGTCGTCGTCGTCGAATGATCACCAGTTCACAACGTCCTTTGTTCAAGTACTAGTTTTTTTCGTCGATATTACAGCAGTGTGGTCGTTTGTTGAAATGTACATTACCCATACAACAGGTGTTGGAAAATGTTTTGTACATTTGTTCTGACGGTACTTGGCGTTTGGTTTGTCTAAACTGAAGCAGCCATGGTAAAATGTCATGTTAGTACATTACATCGCTGTTTTATTATATTCTATCATAAAATTCAGTTTTCTGTGTGGTGGTGGAACATTTATGTAGTTTTGCGATGTCACCGTTTTAAAGTGAATTTACATGGAAGAGGAATAGCGATAAGCTTCATTCCTGTTGTTCTGTTTTTCTTTGTATATGGTTTCTTAAGTAAAGTTTTTCTCTTGGTTTGTCAGTTATCACTGAAACATTTTTTGTATATTATTTTTTCGCAATAATGAAAGCCGCAACCCACTTGTATGTGATTAATGAGCTGGAGGCGTGACAGTTGCTCCAGAGGAGAAGTACTGAGCTGCACAATATTTTTTTAATCGATTTCGTATTCCTGTTCAAATAAGATCGAATAATACCGACTGTTTTAACTAGTAGTCAGTGACGAAATCCCGTAGATAATGAATTCGCTGTGAAATTAGCAGTATCCGACGATGTGTCTATGGCGTACTGATTTCGAGCAATTCATTAGAGGGCTGACTATTTTCAGTAAATAGTCAAGCTTGATTTGAC